CAAAGGTCGGTACCTATCAGTCTGCCAGTAAAAGAGGGAAAGCGTATAAACAGAGATTTTTAACTTGGATTTGTCACAGATGGTAGTTGAGCTACAACTTGGGCTACTGAGACCATCTGCAAAAGGATTTTTAACCAAAATAGTCATCTTTATTGGAAATTTTTATATGTGTAAGTTTTGCTTCACTCAGACATTAAGAGATTTAATTGCTCTGTCCACTTTTAGCATAACTACAAAATTATAGGAAACAGAAACAGGCAAACCCAATGTCCAGGAACATATCTTGCATAGTATCCAGAAACACAGTGTCCGGTGGAGGACTCATAGGCTGGTAGGTGCTTTCTATTTCCCTTAGGCAAAAATAAGTAATACACAAAAAGCAGAAAACAAAAGATGGTGTGAGTAAAGCCCCAAACCAAAAGTCAGGAATCCAAGTTACTCACCATTTCTGAGTTTTCTCAGATCTGGCCTGTCCCCTCCCCCCCCCAGGTTTTCTTACCATTACAAGTGGTTTACTTGGTAGAGAAAATTACTAGCTAATAACTTYATTCATTTAATTCTCAATGGGAGTCCTATCATATCAGAATCACTTGGGGCTTTTTCCAAAATACATACTCCTCCGAAATCTCAAGACTCGGATTTCTTCTTTTTACCCCAAATGTGGAAAATCAGTATTACTTAAAGCCTCTTTTATAAAAGGGTGTCAAATCTCTTGTTTGCACTAAAGGAAAGAAAAAGAATTTTAGAAAGAAAGGAATTTAAAAAGTCTCCTCTAGACAACATTGGGAACAAAAAAAGAAATATGACCTTATCCCTGTCCCAACTGAGAAGGCCAGAATATAAAGATGGGTGGGTTAATTTGTAAAAGTTGGAATGGTAAGCATGGAAAGCCACAAGAGCATGTGCAGTAAAATGTTTCTTCCAACCAGAAAGTACCTGAAAGATCAATGTCACTGCCATCCCCAGTGAATAATTTTATGAGTTCAAGTATTTACTGCATCAAAGTGGTGCATTTCCTAGTTAACTCATTAGCCTGGATTCCTTTATCTAACCTTGACACATGCCATCACCAGTGGAAGTTTGAAGGAAGCAGAACTAACCCTTTTGATAAACAGAAAGAATTGAGACTTGGTGACTTCATGTGAAGTTGTGACCAAAGACTCTAAGCAAAGAATACTTGGGGGAAAGAATTGCCATCTCCAAAGAGGGAGAAAATTTTATTTCAATATTATTGAATAGGCTATGCCTACCACATCATGGGATATTCACTGTCCTTTATAAATTATTTTAATAGTACATACAGCATCAATTTATTTCATGACACCAATGCTGCGAAAATATTATTTCAAAAACAAAAAACCTACATGTCATTGCTTTCAGAAACAAAAACATTYAGTTGATAGTTTTTAACTATTGCCTACACAAAGGATTATCAATGGAAAACTATAAGAAAGAGAACTCTGTTAAGAAATGGAAAAAATGATCAAATTTAAACCGCCTCTCAGGGTATTTCAGCTCTGCCAAGTTTTGATCTCCAGGAATACTATTGTAGAATAAATCCATGAGTCAAKAAAAATACAAAGGACAAACTCCCTCCTCAGTTCCCTTCATCACCCTCCTTCTCACAGCTGGAGGTCCAAGCCATCAGATCTTCCCAGGATGTTCAGTTCGGAGCCAGAGCCCTGATATGTAACATCTTACCAGGGCTATATGCACTGCAAGATAATTCTAAATGACTGTATGGCAAGACATTTAGAAAGGGCAGATGTTGGAGCAATATTGGGATCTGTTGTCCCAATTAGTGTCTGAAATACACTGTCTTATAAATCTGCTTTATAAAACATATAGTATGAACCATAAAGGTGTGGCCAGAAGCATCTTAATTATTTTTAATGGGAGAACAGGATAAGGACTGTGACTTTACATGATTTAAATTTGTRCTTACCTCTAATAAACCTCAGATGATTTATTCTGCCATAATGAATAAAAACAGTCATAAGATTTTCTAACCGATATCCCTTTCCCACACCAGCAACATATATAGGCTTTTATGTGACTTCTTTCTCTTTAAAAATGCTTTTAAAGTGTTTATAGCTCTTCAGGATTACATGTTGAGCCAGGATTATAAATATGTATAAATATGCAGATGCTCCACTGAATGTTCCTTATCTCATTTGTATTTCCGAAATTGTATAAGATAACCTTTGTGCCTTTCAAAAACATCTTCTAACACCCCAGGGGGCAAATTACCTCTATTTTCATTTCCTTTAAAGTTAGAYCATTTTATAATTAAGAACTTATTGAAGCAGATTCTCCCCACGTGTATGCTACTCCCTGGGGAGTAATCTATGCAAAGGGAATCTATGACTTAATATCATATAAGCTAAAAACTGTACAATGGATACCTGGGATTTTTTAAAAGTCAATTTTGTAATCATTATAAATAATCCACTGTTTAAAAGGCTATCATTTTAAGAAATCCATAATACAAATAACTTATAGTGTCATTCATTAGATTACTTTAAAATGGCAAGATCTTTAATAAAGAAATAACAATGGGGCTTGTTCTATTTCTTGTCCAAAAGCATTGGAAAAACCAGTTGATGATGATGATTATGATGGCGAAGATGATGATGATGAAGTTGTTTTATAGCTCTTTACTATTTACAAGGCACTTCCACATAAAATATTCATTCAATCCTCAAATACCTATGAAGTAGTAGTTAAGGTTTATATTTATAAACCAGAAAACATAAGATCATAGATTTTATCTTGGCAATGACCTCAATCATTAATAGATTAAGGACTGAAATTCTGGAGAACAGAACAGAATGATATCAAATCTCCTATCTTTCCCCCATCACAAAATCTTGAAAACAAATTCTAGGAAAACTAAAAGAAGCAGGAGCAAACAGAAATACTGAGTCTAATAAGTACTTTAGGAAATTGTYTCCTCTGATGTTTTTATCATTAGCTTTTTTACCTGTTGCTCTGCACTAATATAGGAATTCAAAATTGTGTTCTTACTTTGGTTTGTAAAAGGCATAGAATGGGTTACTAACCAAAGCATTAGGAAATGTGCCTAATTTTGGGTTATCACTTCTCACCTCGACTGCAAAATATCATTGACAACCTGGATCCTCAGTTTTTTCTTATAGCATTGAATTTTTTTTTGCTTACTGATTTAAAGTTTATGTAATATATTCAATTTTGAAAACCTTAATGTGCTACTCTAAAGCTAAGTATTTTTTAAAGTAAAACAATAAAAAAGAGGGTTACATCTTGCATTTATTTGTTTTGTGTATTTAAGAATGAAGAACTATAGAATGTATCCAAGCGGCAGATTTATGTACAAAGAATTTTGAAGTATATTTTACATAATTATTTTAAATTGGGATAGGAAATAGCAGAACTTCTTAGTGTGSGAAATTGTAACAACTCTTAGAATACTATCAGAGACAGAGGAATTACTATATTCTAGATAATCTCTATAAAGWTGACTTAAAATCATTTTTCTAAGAGGTGTTTTGTGTATGTATATATATATGCATATATACACACATACATACACACATATATGTACATATGTATATGTATACATGTCCATACACACATACACTCCCACAGACTTGCCTGCAAAACATCACAYCAAATTGCACACATGCAAAATGGAAATCCCACGATCCATCAAATCCCACAAACACCCCATTTTTGTCAAACCCAGGAAGCTGGAAGTCACCATGATTCTTCATCAATTTATGTCCTTTCTGTCATCATATAATCTGACTTCTGCCCTTAAACCATCTTTGTTCTTGCTTCTTCCTCTCCATTTGTTCTGCCACTGATGAGACCTATGCTTCAGCTCCACACCCACTTTAGGAATGACCTTTATTTTGTCTGGTCAGCCTTTCACCACATTCACCTTTCTGAGTGCTTAAATTACCACTTTTATTATTTATCCATCTAGTTCCCTTCTCTGTTCCTTATGGCAAATGGGATTAGGTAAAAACTCTACCCAACCCCAGGAACTCCAAAATCTGGCATCACCCCTCAATGCAACCACATTTCCCACATTTCCATTATAGCCAAATGCTATGATKTTTGAGTCACAATCATCCCAGACCTCCAATCTTTTTTATTGAATGMCTTTCCCTTTAGCCTGACCAAAAATTCCACATAATTTCCAATGAAACTATTTCAATTCCTATTAAATTCATTCTTAACATCAAGTAATTGACATTTTCTGATTTCTCCATGTATTCACATTGTTTCACTAATTGCATTACTACAATTGTTACTTTATTTTTTCCTGTGTCATCAGCCTTCAGTATCCTAGTGGATAGATAGAACATGATCACTAAATGATCTGATTTCTTATTGGTATTTTCCAGAGTGAACATCCAGCCACATAATGGATAAAGCCACACATCCACACCCTAGTTTTACTTTCTTTACCTATTTAAAATATTATTGAGATAGAGCCATGTGAAAGCTGCTCTCAGTTTCAAGAGGAAAATAAGAAGTCTAAAGTCATGGGTTCAAGAGATTTTTGTTTTACTCTATTTTAAGGTCAAGTTTTAAAAGGAGACAACAGTGAAAACAAGACTTTAGAAAACTTCTGATCTCTGGTTATTTATTTATTTAGGTTGTTTAGTTATCCAAAGTACACGTATGAGGACACGAATTGGTGTGAGTATACTATGTGTATACAACCAGAGATATGCAAACGTGAGCTCTATATATGTAATAAGAGTTGTCATACATTCCGTTGTTATATATAAATTAAAAAAATAAAATAAGAAAAGCAAGCAGTGGCAAACAGATGCCCTAACACATAGAGAAAGTCTATGAAGACTTTCAAATTGGCAGTGGGTGACCTGCACACTACCGCTCCCACCCTGGGATCCTCAAACACAAACATTATGGCTGGRATAGGAGGAGAAATAGATAAGAAGACTGAAAGAAAAAAAAAATGTGTAAACTCTGTTTTCCCCTTTCAGCACAAATTGAAGTGATACCATGCAAAATTTGTGGCGATAAATCCTCCGGGATCCACTACGGAGTCATCACGTGTGAAGGCTGCAAGGTAGGAAAGGTCACTACTTTATTTGGTGCATGCTTCAAGCCCCTGTGCACCCTTCTTAAAGAAGGGTGCTGATGGACACTCCTGTCTCTTCTGACTGGCTTGGTGGTGTTCTTTTGTTTCTTTCTGTTCTTTTGACTTTTTCTTGTTTATGCCAGATCCTTAGAAATGCATTCTTATTTGAAGGCTTGAATTAGTCACATTTACAGAGATAAATACAGATTCTTAGTGTTTTAGCAGTCTTGTCCCCAGTGAACTCCAGAGCACTTATTAGTGTATGTTAAAACTAAAGGATTAAATAAAGAGTGTAAACTAATGGCATGTATTTATCTAACCGCTTAAGAAAGACAACATTGAGGTAACAGCCACAATATACATATGGCCATCCTTTACCTTCCAGAAAAGAAAACAAACCTAGAAGCATGGGATGTTGGAAGTGACCAAATAATCCCCAAGTAAATTAAAAGTCATATCCCCCAACTTCCATATTGTTCAATGAGGTCCTGTTGGATAAACAATATCATATCCTTRATTAGTATCATTGATTCAGAGAGTAAAAAGCTGACCATAACACTAGTTTTTTTTCAGTTAGTCCAATATTCCTTCCCAGGACAGATTTCACCAACCCTTCTCAACAGCAAGTACATACCAGAGAGGAAATTCCTTCTGACTCAAAAAGCTGGGCAGAACAGTCAACCTTGGCTTAATCTGAAGCAAGAGAAATTTGAAAATCAACAGTAACTTTTTCAGATTAATCCTTAGAAGGAAAGAGTGAGAGACTCTTAGCAAGGAGAAAGCAAAAAGTTTACAAGTGATTTTAAAGGGGCCACACTGTAACCAGAACCAAGAAAACCCACCTATGATCTTGGGGTAAATGGTGATGTGCTGGCTTATTGRCAAGAGCAATTATGTTTTTGATCARAGATGTGAGCAAATKAAACATTAATTTAAGGTCRGTGAACTGAATTAGATGTAATAYAGTCATGAATCTGATCTTAAGAGACTTTCAAAAGTAAACAAGATAAAACATACAGTAGCAATCAAATACTRATGCTGTGTGAAAAACTGACAGTGTCTTAATTAAGAGTCTCAAAAAAGGATGATTCCTGCCATTGAAAACAGAGAGAAGCAAAGAAAAGAGGAACAAATGAGAATGGAAGAGGGAGGGAGATTAACATACTGATCTGCTTTAGCGATGATTAGTGATAATCCATATGTGAACATCATGAGATGTCCCTTGCATTCTGTTCCTCTACAGAGCTATAATTAAGAATTGCATGCTGTCCACGTTAATGCAATTTTTTCAACTCATTAATAAGAAACAATGTAGAAAAATTATAAGGTGGCATTTTTTTTACCCTCCTTAAGTTATTATTTTCTCTGGGCAGGAAGGCAAACTTTTCTTCATAAACACTAGTAATTTTGAAAACAGAAGAACCCTCTCCACTGAAGGCATTTCTACCAGTCTGTTGACTTGTTCTGCGATTTTAAGAGCTGCAGTCTAGTTTACATAATATCCACTAAAAAATTTTTTTTAGATCAAAGTCAAAATGAAAATAKTCAGTGTTTCATTGGATAAGCCTTTTTTGGAAATTTTCTATTTTCAAAATATGGAGATATATTTATGTTAAGGAGAAAAACATTTTAAATAGTAACTTCTAAAAGCTTTAATTACTAGACAAATATAATCCAACAGGTCAACAGCCAGGAACAAGTGTTTAAGCTTCTGTCATCTTTTCTATTTAGAAGAAGAATCCACAATCAAGGAAATTATGCAGTTACTATGAAGTATACTCTGATGTTTTAGTTAAAAATGACTGAACACCACACTATTTTTATGGAAAAATTTTTCATGGAAAAATCCACATTTTTAAATATACTACATTTTTCTCCAAATAGAAAACTCAAAAAATCTCATTTAGGATTAGATGTCAATATCATCATACTCAGAATTAACCTCTGAATTTTTATGATGCTGTTTTGGAATAAACATAAACAACTTATTTAAAAATAACATCACTTCAGCTCACACACTTACTCAATTCCTATTCATTCAATAAAATTTGAAACAGAATCTCTGTCTCATGTCATAAACCTCATTTGCAAAAATAAGCAACAGATAAGCAATAAATACCTCATAATTAATATCAAATTGGCCTTAAATTAATGCTTGTAACTTAAGGAAAATCTTTTCTTTGGACTCTTTTGCTCAGTAGCACTACTACCCAAAGATTAAAAACTGAAAATTCTTTCTTAAAAATCTAAATTTCAAGTCATCTTTAATCAKGTCTGATGTGCTGAGGTTATACTGTCATGGTATATGAAGTACGTCCTTTCAGTCCCTGGGGTTTATCATGATCTCTGTTTTAAGGGGTTCTGTAAATTCAATCRAACTGGACAATTTCATTCTGCTGTCACTGGTCCAGTAGATAAATAATGCACATGGAGATATGGAGATGAAACTAGTTTTTGTTGAATGACTTTGAGCTTAAACCTCACAACCTACTGAGACTATTTCTCTAAGAGATCCTTGGACACATGTCCATTMCTGAGGTTCCTGCAGTTTGGCCAAGTTTTCTTGACATTGCCAARCTGGGCCACACTGGAATCCAAGGCAAAAGGAAAATTGATAAGATCAATCCTATCTTTCTTTAAACTACTGGTAATTTTCATACATTGAATTAAAATATTATTTTAATAACTACCAAATGTTTTTGGTGAACCATAACTGTCATAACCAAGGTGACTGCCACACTAGCTTCACCTAGATCCAGCCCTGCCTCTCCTCCTGTGGAACACAGAAAGTATTTGACAGAAGTCAGAGGAACTTTTTCAAGCTTCTCAGCAAGATAGGCATTAAGCTTATTTCATTCCTGGGCTTTTTAAGTACTCCTCCCCCCAAAACATGATGCTGTTATCATTTCCTAAAATTTCTCTTGGTACATCTATTTTAGATCATCCTTTTGCTCRTGGCAATTGCACGTTTGCTATTTTGCTGTAGGCAATTCAAAAATGATAAGGAAAACTGATTATGTAGGGGAGTAGAGGGATAAACAACATTTCATATCTCTGGAGAAATGATTGTCTTCTTTCATAAGGTTTCCTTTTTTTTATTTTTATTTACTTTTTCCACATTTTTACTGGTGCATTGTAGTTGTATATACTGATGGGATTTGTGGTTACATATTCATAAATGCACACAAGATAACAATATAATTTGGCCAATATCACTCCCCAACACCTCTCCCCTCCTTCCCCACCTCTACTCTTTGGACCCTTTCCTCTACTGATCTTCCTCTGATTTTTAGGAAATCTACCCTGACCCTTGTTTACCTTTTTCCTCTCTAGCTTCCACATAAGACAGAAAACAGGACCCTTAACCTTCTGAGTTTGACTTATTTCACTTAACATATTGGTCTCTAGTTCTATCCATCTTTCTGCAAATGACATATTTTTTTTTCTTTATGGCTGAATAAAACTCCATTGTGTATATGGATTTTTTTTTTCTTTATCCATTCTTTATCTTTATTTATTTTCTTTTATCCATTTTCTTTATCCATTCTTACAACAATGGATACMTAGGGTGGTTCCATAGTTTGGCTATTCTGTCAAAATGACTTTGACTTTGTGAATTGTGCTGCTATAAATGTAAGTATGCATGTATCACTACAGTAAGATGCCTTTAATTCTTCAAGGTAAATACCAGGAAGTGGTATAGGTGGGTGATAAGATTCCATGCTTAGTCTTTCGAGAAGCCTCCATATGATTTCCATAGCGGTTGTACTAATTTATAGTCCCACCGACAGTGTAAAAGTGTTCCTTTTGCTCCACATCCTCTCCAGCATTTCTCAGTAAGGTTTTCTGTAAGATACTAAGGGAGAGTGGTAGGCAGAAGAACTGAAAAATAATAATAAACTCAGCTGCAGATTCATTTAGAGGGATAKTATATGGTCCATGACATTTCATTTTGTACCAGAAGGACCCAAGCATACTTCTATGAAGACCCTTATATGCTATAACTTAAGGCTAAGCAGAAATCATTTGTTCAGTTTTTACTTATTGTTTATTTTCCTTTACTCAAGATGTGTTTTATTATAGGCAATATATCACTGGCTTAAAAAACAACTTTCCACATATGTTCTGACCACATTAATTTTTTTCCCCAATGAAGCYAAATGCATCTTAGAAACTAGGAAAACAGCAGCACATACTGAGCACACATTCCTCAGTAACGAAGCTGCCATCAGCACTCTAAGTTTCTCACCACCACTGAGTTTAGCACAAGCTCAGTCCTTGTCCCCATCAAGTATCATCATATTTGGTTTAGCAACAACACACTTCTTTGTTATTTTCCCTCATTGCTCTTTTTTAAAAAAATTATTTTTATTAATTCTAATCAGTTATACATGATAGTAGAAAGCTTTTCAATTTATTGTACGAAAATGGAGCACAACTTTTCATTTCTCTGATTGCACATGATATAGAGTCACACCACATGTGCAGTCATACATGTACCTAGGATGATGATTTTGTCTCATTCTACCATCTTTCCTACCCTCTTGTCCCCTCCCCTTCTCTCTCTTCCCTTGGCCCAATCAAAGTTCCTCCATTTTCCGCATTCTGCCTCCCCCCCATTATGGGTGAGCATCCACTTATCAGAGAAAACATTTGGCCTTTGGTTTTGGGGGATTGGCTTCTTTCACTTAGCATGATCTTCTCCAACTCAATCCATTATTTGCAAATGCCATGATTTTATTCTCTTTTAATGCTAAGTAATATTCCATTGTGTGTGTATGTATGTACACACACAATGGAATATTACACACACACACACACACACACACACACACACACATCAAGTCCTTTAGGTATAGACCAAAGAGTAGATAGCTGGGTCAAACAGTGGTTCCATCCCAAGTTTTCTAAGAAATCTCCATACTGCTTTCAAATCAAGAATCAATAAATAGGATAGATTCAAACTAAAAAGCTTCCTCTCAGCAAAAGAAAAAAAAAAAACAATGAGGTGAAGAGAGAGCCTACATTTTGGGAGCAAATTTTTGCCACATGCACGTCAGATAGAGCACTAATCTCCAGGATATATAAAGAACTTAAAAAACTCTACACCAAAAGAATAATAACCCAATAGATAAATGGGCTCAGGAGCTGAACAGACACTTCTCAGAAGAAGATATACAATAAATCAACAAACATATGAAAAAATGTTCAATATCTCTAGTAACTAGAGAAATGCAAATCAAAACTACTCTAAGATTTCATCTCACTCCAGTCAGTATGGCAGATATCAAGAATACAAACAACAATAAGTGTTGGTGAGGATGTGGGGGGAAAGGTATACTCGTATATTGCTGGTGTAAATTGGTCCTCAGTGCTCTTTGGGGGCAGACACTCTGTTGCCTTTGCAGAGGACATCACAGTTCATAAATATCTTTGGTACACATTCATTCCATGAATGAARGAATGAATGATGCCTTCTTCTCTCTGCAGATAGCACCTATTTTCTGCATAGAACATCTGTAAGCTATCCAAGGAGAAGTACCTAAATAATTTTTTAAAAAATACGCTCAGTTATGTTCAGTGTAGAAACTGTAGCAAGTGTATAAGTTAATGTTTCCCTTCTTTCTAAACCTGCTTCCCTCCCCTTTTCTTTTTCCCTCTAGGGATTCTTCAGGAGGAGCCAGCAGAACAATGCCTCTTACTCCTGCCCAAGGCAGAGAAACTGTTTAATTGACAGAACCAACAGAAACCGTTGCCAACACTGCCGACTGCAGAAGTGTCTTGCCCTAGGAATGTCGAGAGATGGTATGGTGAYACCTTCCTATTTCTTACTTTGGGGTTTTCAAAGGAATGCCTCTTTAGAGGCTATGTGAGCCACTGGAAGGATTTAAATGTGGAAATTGGGAATGAGAAGAAAAGAAAACCATAGTTCTGGAAGTGAATTAAGAAATAAAGTAAGAACATATAAAATATAGTATTGCCTCAAGAAATGAGAAGAAGGGGGAGGTTTTACTGTAGCTCATCCATCAGCCTATGCTATCTAGGTTAAGTGAAAGCAAYGTAAGCATAGGTGGAAAGTGACCATCCATCCAGGTTGACTTGTAAAGAGGGGTCTCCTGGCATGTGAGACTTTCAGAACTAAAACCAGAAAGTCCCTGGTAAACAGAAGCCATTGGTTCACTGGGGAGGTCTGCCTGGCACACAAGTTTCTTGGTGTACAGGCAAATTCTAAGGAGCAGAATATGCTTCTCTGGGAAGTTCAGAAGCTTGGATACCCAGATGAGCATCTGGACTATTCTGAGCCATGATGAAGATTKCAGAGGCTACAGCAGAAGTCCAAGTCTTACAAGGGCTGTGTAGGTGGCGTCCCACTCGGAGGAGTATGACGCAAGTGTGCGCTCCAACCAAATTGGGGTGGCCTGGCTCCTAGGAACGAATTTCTTAGGTTAATGAAAGAGAACAAATAAAAAAAGATGAACAAAGAATTTCACCTAGTTTTTCTTATATTTTGAGCACTCACATACATTCATTTTTTCCCTGCTGAGATTTTCCTGTAGCAGATTATAAGTGTCCCTGAGCCCTGGGGCCATTCCTGTCCTGTGTCCACTGTATCCTGAGGGAGTGATTCAAAGCAAACACCTTGGGCTGGGATGTGGTTTGGTGGGAGAGCCCTTTCCTAGCAGGGACAGGACCCTGGGTTTGATTCTCAGCCTTGGGAAAAAAAAATTAAAATTAAATCAAGCACGTAAATGTTTGCTAAATGACCTACTCATAGCACTTTCTTCTCAGACTACCTGTAGTTTGAGACATAGCCATTACTTCTGACACTTATTTTCTTGATGTGAATCACTCTAGATTCTGTGCCTCTGGTCACACTCTCTCTCTCCAGTAAAGTTCAAATTCTCAGCAGATGGATTAAAAAAAGTAAGAAATGTCCAAGTTTTAAAAAAAAATAGTCAGTTGGTATTCACTATCACTTAGTACATTCAGGTTTAATCAGTTATTAGGTTTGTTTTTGTTGTTGTTTTTACCTTTTTTCTAATTCCCAATGAATCTAAACTTGTGTTGTACAATAATATACCTGTAACACAAATTTATCCAAAAAATATATTAAAAGAATCTGATCTTTTTTTTTTTTTTTTTTTTTTTGAGAGAGTGAGAGAGGAGAGAGAGAGAGAGAATTTTTAATATTTATTTTTTAGTTCTCGGCGGACACAACATCTTTGTTGGTATGTGGTGCTGAGGATCGAACCCGGGCCGCACGCATGCCAGGCGAGCGCGCTACCGCCTGAGCCACATCCCCAGCCCAAGAATCTGATCTTTAGCCCTTTAATTTCTAAGTTCCTTCTAACATTGCAGAAATTAAATTTTCAAATTTTTCCTATTAACTAATTTTTTGTTATTTATTTTTCTGGGCTCACTAAGCACATAAATTTACTCCTAGGGTAAATTTATAGTACTGTGTATTTCTATAAAATGAAGGCAAATTAAGTGAATAGAGAGGGGTTAAATGGTATTCAGGATTTATTCAGTGAAAAGTCTACRGGAATTTGAGTTGATGAATTTGTACTTCATTTCTCCCATATGGAGGAAGGATATTAATCGATATCTTCTGAAACACCCATTAATAATTGTGCAAAGAGATAAGCCACTGGGTGTATTCATATGTTGTGTTTCTTCCTACAATCAAGGAAGTCTGTCTTCTAAAAGCTTGAGTCTTGTGAATCTGGAGAACAGAATCATGAACAAGAGATGGGTATATTTTCCAGGAAGAGTCAGCACTCTCAGTAAATCAGCTCAAAGTCTAGGAGATTGACTGAATCCCATGTCATAAAAGACAGTTCCTGGCAGGGTGAGGGTCATTTAATGGATGGAGCCTCAGTCTGTTCTCAAGGAGAAAAATTTCACTGCAGCACATATACCTCTAGGCAAGTAAAAGCAATATAGAGTCTAAGGATACTGGGGAGTAAGGACATGATCCACTTAATCCTCTGCCCACAGACATACAGGATCATCTTTAAAATGCCTCCTAAGTATGTCTTATGTCAAACCACTCATAAAGATAAATATTCAAGGTGGGAGTGGTGGTTGGGAATACAAARAGGAAGGGGCTCAAGAAGACGAGAAAGAGAGAGAGAGAGAGATTCTAAGGATGAATAAAGCTTCCTTACTATGTCATATAGAGGAAGATGGTCAGAACCTTAATTTTAAAGAGTTCCTTACACAAACAAAGAATACCAGTATCAGGGGGCTGGCTAGGTTTTCTCTGTTGTTGATAAGTAATGCCCAGTATGTAGCATTAAGGAATTCCCAAAGAAAGCCACGCATAATGGCACACACCTGTGATTCTAGCTACTCTGGAGACTGTGGACAAGAATCGAAAGTTGGAGGCCAGCCTTAGCAACTAGGCAAAACCCTGTCTCAAAATAAAACTGAATTTTTCAAAAAGGAATTCAAAAGCCCCGAAGTTATGGTTGGTGTGCTATGTCTAGTCAGAATGAGAGATGGAGTTTCTACTGCCACTAATTGATTATCCTACCATTTACTGACTAAGCAAATATTTTCAAAGTACCTTAGCAGTAATACCTAAGTCAAGGTACAATGTCCTCACAGCTGACTTCTTTCTACAACCCCCTACCATTCCTCARAGATAAAGTGACATTTTCATTTCAGTATATGTGTTTGCTCTGTCACTTATGCTGGCTCGGGGAATGTCTCCTTCTTATCTGATCACTGCAAGTACATGGCTATAAGTTGATATCTTAGCCTAACAGTKTAACTCACTGGATGTTCAGTCTCTCCTGAATTCCCATCATAYACTAGTTTATTAGTCATGGCACATTTGAGAGTAGACATCAAACTCAGAAATAACCACTTTGTTCAAATTTACCTTAAACAAAKAATGAAAAGTCAAATCCACTTAAACACATGCAYGTGTGTCTGTGTCTATAAAGAGGTGAAAGTGGGCGGGTGGCAGGCGTCGGGCGGAATGGACAGCAGGCTATGCCCACAGAACCTTCCCTACCATCTTTGTTCATCTTCCTTTTAGTGACCTTTCACAAAGGAATCTCAGGAAAATGTTTGATATCAGTAGAAAACTATCGGCCCTCAAAAAGAAAACACAATACTCACCTTGCAAAGAATCTAGATGATTAAAAAAAATCATTATCATTTTTAAAAATCTAGAATGTATCATCTTCTTAGAAGGCGTGTCTCTATGAAAACATAGAAACTGCCCTGTACAAGTTCAGGCTTCACAGATAAGGCTTCTTCTATCCAGAACTGTACTGTTTCCATTTGAATCATTTAAATTTCCATGAATTAAAATTAAATGAAACTTGAYGTTCAGTTCTTCAGTCACACTAGCTGTATTTTGAGTCCTCAAGAGTTGCATGTGACTTATGGCTGCCACACAAGAGAACCCTCCATTTCTAGAAGCTCTTCTGGAGAAAAAGTAGGAAATAAAAGAGAGGATTTTAAACTGAATAGAGTTAGGTGCATTGAATCAGACTAGAGCACTAAAAAAGGGGGGCAAATCTGTAAAATTGAAAAGAATTAAATTAAGACCCATTTATTTGGTAAGCACCAATACRTAAACACAGAAATGCTTGAACCAACAATAGTAAGATATAATCATTTTCAGAATGACTATAGAAAGACATAGATATTCGTTGTATAAGTGAGTTTTCTTGAAACCAAATGTACATGTCTTGATGTCATAAAGTATTAAGCAGAAATCTTCAAGGAATAAATGACTTTATTTTTCCATTATTCTGAAAATTTCCATTCCATTTAGAATCCTGTAATACAAACAAAAATCAAGTGATTTCTGATACTTATGAATAAAATTATTCCTTGTTAGTGTGAAGTACAAAGGAGTATTAACAGGTACCATAAGCAAATACCATCATTACTGAGTATTTATAAAGTACTTGTAACACATACATAATTGTGCTAGTTTCCTTAAGAGTTAGMAGTTTAACAAGAAGATGCCTCTATGCTCAAGTGAATGCCATTAACAGAATAATTCAAGTCTGAGGGGGCAAACTCTTAAAACATGTGCTTTCTATCAATGGGTAGTGATAAGAAGACTGTCAATACTTGAAAATATTGTAGTAATATAGCCTTTATTAAAATAGGTTGATGAATACACCACGTGTACTTACACATAGTGACTAGGCATAATTTATAGGTCAGAAGAGATCAGTAGGTTTATTTTTGGGCATATACTGTAATTTTTCCCAAAATATGTCAACAATTTTATTGCAGGGAGGAACACAAACCTGAAACACTGGCTTATCATTTTTCTGAAATGAATGGAAAATTTGTTCTAGAATAGTATTACAGTTGTTATCAATGAAGTCCTTGATTTAGGATAAAGACTGATAATCCTGAAAAGAAGTGGAGCTTTAACCTATTTCTTTCTAAATATTTTAGTTGCTYGGTGGCCTAAGAAGTTGATCTCTCTTAGAAAAGAGCCTTTCTCTGCTGCATTTTGAGATGTTCAACCGAGCAGAGCTCTTGACAGCATACTTTTTTGACATTGTTAACTTTAATGATGAGGACTCTGGTTGAAAGTACAATTCTGCTTGTGCCAGCTGCAGGTCAGGTCTGCAACTCTGCTGACCATAGCTGGCCTTGCCTGAGATGACTGAGGAGGCCACCTCAGCTTCACGTATCTCATTCTTCAGCAGGTTAGCTCAGGCATGTCCTTCCAAGCTGAGGGCCCATTCACACAAGCCCTTTTCAAGCCTCTGTCTGTCTCACATTTGTCAATCTCCCATTAGCCTAGAGCAGGTCAGTGACCAGGAGTCAAGGGGTGGGCAGCAGGCCTGCACAGAATGAAAGGGCTCTGCAAATAGACACAGAGAAGGGCATGGAAGGGAATAGGTAAGAAGAACTGAYGATATTAAGGCAATCCATTCACCATACATCTCATCTAAATGTAGAGCATATAGAAATCTAAAGCAAGGATTAAAAGGAAATTAATTTTTAAAGAGACTACCTTTCTACTTCCATATTAGACGAGTTTCTCATTGACAATTTTTAATTCTTATAAATTTTAAATAAATAAATACAAAACTATTCTACTAAAATGAGTCAGTAAATAAATCTCCCCTGGACAAAACAAAAAAATGTAATCCATAGGAATAGAAACCGTGCTTATATTCACCTCTTTAACTGCAACAAACAGCCGTTCTGAATTTAAATAAATGCAAAAGGTCAGAAGAACAGCAAATAAACAAGCATGTCACATGATTTTCTTTTTCAATCAATATTTATTATTGTTTAGTTATTCCTTATACAAAAAAAGATATAAGAGAAAGGTTTCCCTAAAAGTTATTGTAGAATTCTGTCCGCAGACAAACTGGAAATATCACTGCAATTAGTAAGCAAATAAATGTGTCTCTGAGAAACAGAATCTAATAAAGGCAGCATCTCTACAAACTAAGTTAAACACAATGATCTAAATGATTCAAGACCCTATAAAAGCAACACTGAGATGGAGAGATTGATGGCGATTAATCATCTTGCTTGTCTTCATTCAGAAAAATTACTGGATAATTACCACTTCATTTTCCTACTTAGGCACCATCAGAAAGCCAGAATGTAGGGCTGTTTAGTAAGACTGAGAAGAAATAGGAAGACTTTGGGCCCAGCCCTCACATGCACAGTCCAGGAGGCGAGGAGGAAAACATGCGCTCCTCGACCTGGAAGTAGATGGACGGCCTCTGTTTACTTCCTGTCAATCAGAACTTAATCACATAGCCATGCCTCTCAGGGAGGGGAGCTAGGAAGTATGGTGTTCATTCTCAACAGTCTATGCTCAGATAAAAGTTGGTAGCTCTATGCCATTGCAGTGGGAGGAGAAAATCAATTTTGGTGGAATATTGGGGGAAGCGAATGGAATCTCTCTCACAGCAGGAACCTCCTGAGTGGGCCCTTTGAGCTCTTAGAGAGTTCTCAAACATTGCACTCTAAGGACTGAATCCAGGAATTGAACCCTCCACTTCCTTCTTTCTACATTCTTGGAACTCCCACCACTAACAAGTAGTAGGAACACTGTCACCAAAGAAAAGAAAACGGAAAATCAGAGGGGAGCCTCTGCACGTGTCATATTTCCCACCACTAATGTGAGCTGAAAAGTGCTTGATGATCACAATGGGTAGCCCTGAGCCCCGAATATGCTGGTAACAGAATGTTTACATGCTAAAAAGGAAGTCAACAAAAGTCAAAGTGAGGAAAAATGTCAATATCCGCAGCAATTCAGAAGGCTTAGCTCTACGAGTTAAGAAACACATTGAAATGGAGTCACTTTATATTACTGGTGACCACAGCCTCTTCTCCTTTTTCCTCAAAATGGCTGAGAATTTCACTGGCAGAAACAGGCAAAATAAAAGTTGGGACTGGTGCAATGAGCAAAGGTAGTCACTGTTGGCTCACTTGCTAGACATTGGATGCACAAAATTACTGTTTTCCAATATTTTTATCATTTGATCCCTAGATTCATCTGGAGATAAATGATGGAGTTTACTTTAAATGTGTTTGTCACCCTGCCCCACATCCTTGGTCTTATCCAACACAYTAATTACACAATAGATCCAATAGTAACATAATAGGGTCCTTTCCAACAACCCAGTAATCCTAATGCTTAAGGAAGGAAGTTAATAGTGAGTCTTGTAGACATTTTAATAGCAGGTATAATTTGGTATTTGGGGGTAGGGGTATTGAGGAGTCTCTTGTTTGTTTTGTTTTGTTTTTTGTATAAGTGAAAAAGAAGCAAATGTACCTTCCAACTTCATGGCAATGAAAAACGMATAAATTTGTTTCATTTCTCCCAATCTCAGTGCTGTAGTTTGGATCCTTATTAATCCCCAAAGGCCCACGTGATAAAGGCTTGATCCCTAGCTTAGTGCTATTGGGAGGTAGTGGAAACCTTCAGAGGAGGGAGGTCTTAGGTGATTGGAGGTGTGCTCCCAAAGGGAATAATGGGTCACAGGCCTCTCCCCCTGCTTCCCTTTTGCTTTCCTGCCATGAGGAGAATGGCTTGCTCTGCTACACACTACCCCCCCCCATAATGTGCTGCCTCACCACAGGCCCAAAAACAATGGGTTTACATAATATGGCACAAATCCTCCAAATCATAAGTCAAACCAAACCTTTTCTCTTTATAGGTTGAGTATCTTAGGTATTTGTCACAGTGCTGGAAAGCTGACTAACACATTCAGATTTAGTTCTCATTGTGACCTAAACCAGTATAGGCCTGCCCCAAACAGGACCTTTCACCAATCATAAAGTGTAAATGAATGGATGCTTAGGTTATGGTGCTAGGAATTTGTCTTATTTGACGTTGAAAGGACAACCATCATGATTCTTAGACTTGAAGTCGTTAAGAGTGATAACCACAAGTGCTGTTTTCTGCTTTTCTCTCTGACCCAGCTGTGAAGTTCGGGAGGATGTCCAAGAAGCAGAGGGACAGCCTGTATGCTGAGGTGCAGAAGCACCAGCAGCGGCTGCAGGAGCAGCGGCAGCAGCAGAGCGGGGAGGCGGAAGCCCTTGCCAGGGTGTATAGCAGCAGCATCAGCAACGGCCTGAGCAACCTGAGCAATGAGACCAGCGGCACTTACGCCAACGGGCATGTCATCGACCTGCCCAAGTCTGAAGGTTACTACAGCGTAGACTCCGGTCAGCCATCCCCCGATCAATCAGGACTTGACATGACTGGAATCAAACAGATAAAGCAAGAACCTATCTATGACCTCACCTCCGTACCCAACTTGTTTACCTATAGCTCTTTCAACAACGGGCAGTTAGCACCAGGGATAACGATGACAGAAATCGGTGAGTAGGAGTCTCCTCCAAGTTTCACTTTTGGAAGTTCTGCTTTGATGTCATCTTGGTCCTATCTAAATAGGATCATTTTCTTAGATGTAAACTGAATGATTTGCCCACGTGGCTTCGACGGAGAAAGTAAAGTGACCTTGAAATACATTCTAATAAATTGTCATTGTTCCCTTGCCCTCATAAAAGTTTATTTTGAGCAAAGGAAAAAAGAAAAAATCATAAATAGAAAGATGCTATCTATAAAGAAAGAACAGATGCTATCTGTTTGAATCCGGGTTCTCAGTGATGAAAAAAAAATGTTATTAGTATAAACAGAGAAGTTTTAGCATGGATCCAAAGCAATGCTCTCCAAAGCCATATAGCCCTAAGGGATGGAGAGGCAATGTGGAATGACCAAATGAACAGGGGTCCACTCTCCCTCTTAAGATAGTTGGGGACAACCTTGAGCAATCGGTCCTTCATTTTCCCTCTTTGTAAAGACTGGGGTTAGACAAAAAGACTGCTAAGATTATCATAAATCTGAATTCATAAATTCCATATGGGATTCTTAATGACAGCCAGGAAGAGTGTGGTCTGGAATGTTACAGAACATGAGTGACAAATGAGTTCATCACAGGCGGGCCCCAGAGCATCAGCAACCTGATCCGTTGGGGGCAACTGTGCCTTTCAGTTCTCAGGGAGTGATCCTCCAGAGGCCCTGTCCGTCCAAGGCAAGCTCACTTCCGACCTGTTGCCACTCTGCTTCACCCTGTTAAGCTCAAGAGTCCATTGACTGCTTAACTGGTTAATCTCGTTAACTAACTGCCATAAAAATATTGACATGGAATTAACACATGGCCCTCCTGGGTACCAGAGTCACACTTTCCTAGCAGATTAGGAGAGTGAAACCAACAGTGGCCATTCCAGGCTCCAAGGTTGTCATTTACTGAACTGGGAGAAGCAACATAGGGCTCCAGAATTTTGAGTCTCCTCCCTTCCCACCTAAGAGGTGGTGGCAGAGCAGAGGGTCTACCAATCAGGCTCTCTGAGTTCAAATCCTGTCTCTGTGGCTTATGACTTAAACTAGAACCAGCACTTCCATCCCAGTTCACCCATCTCTAAAAGGGAAAAAGCATTAGTTCATAGCTTCTGGGGAACGTTGTGAGAATTACAACACTTGGCAAGTGCTCTTAGAATTTTATTATTTATATGCCATTATTTATTCATTATTATTATTACTTATGTGCCATGTGCTCAGTCACCTTCAAATGGGTGCATAAAACCCACAAGAGCTTTAAATTAAGTTGTTGTGAAGGCATAGTGAGATCCATCGTCATATTCTTGGCTAGCTGTGCCATCTGGTTGAAGAAGGAGCCATGTGACACAARTTATAAACCTGAAATGTTGTTTCTCCCTTTCAGCAGCTCAGAGCATGACAGTGAGTACAGCTGTTGACAGAGCACAACCGAGGCAGGAAGCCAAACATCAACTGCAATAGCAAAGTTTCTCGATTTTCTCATTATCCTTAACTTATACTGCCTCACAGGCACTTCTCAAATATTTAATTCTCACAAACATCTGAAGAGATAAGTAAAAATGTTGTTCCCACTTGACTGTGGAAACAGAGGCTTAGAGTTGTCTTGTGAGTTCCCAGGGTCCTACTATTATTCGCTGTGATACAGCCAGGGTAGCCAGTGTCCACCCCAGGCAGGCTGAAGCCAGGGTCCTCATGTTCATCCATTAACCTGCTGCTTACTAGGGGTTTAATGTGCACAATCTGTATTGTCAACGGAAAGGGTCCGTCTTTTTAAATGAACAATTTTTGTTGTTGTTGTTATTTTCTTTTTTACATGCTGTTCCAAAAGGGCKTATAAAAAAGAAAATAACAAAGTCACCACTTTTTATACTATTACTTAATATGTAAGTCCTTGAGTCTATCATTGGCTTGGAACATGTTTAAATTCTAAAGAAACAAAAACTCACAATTGTTAGGCAATCTTTCTGCATAGACATGGACACACAGAATTAACTAGAATATATTCCCCTTGATTATTTCAACATATCGTTAGTTTTTACAGATCTCTGCATATGCTCTAAATTTTGGAGGCATCTTTCATCAGACTTTAAGGGGTTCATTTAGGTTGTCCTGCGAGTGCTTCCAGATATAGCAGACAGGTCCTAAGTCTAAATATTGACTTGGTTCACATTTTATTAAAACAGCAATGCCACCTAGTGGACACAAACCCATGCTATGCATATTTAATCTAGGTACCTATGACAAACCGCAACTGTGATGCAATATTTCCTAAACAAAATATTGCCACTCATTTCACTAACTCACTAAGTCCATAATAGTGCCATCATGCAGGGAGGCATCATTAGCTTATTGTGGTAATTAAGAACTCTGGCTCTGGAGTTACACTGCCAGAGTTCAAAACCTAGTTTTGAACTCTTCCCTWGGGCAATTTGCTTGATCTTCCTGTAAACCTGGGCCAGTAGTAGTCCTTGGGAAGGGGAGTTTAAATGAGCTAATATTCATGACTCTTTAGGACAGCATCTGTTATACCTGTAATAAAATAATTGATATTATAATTACTAAGATCACTGGTTATATCAGGAAATATAATGGTCTTTTACTGAGCACCAATTCTGCTAAGCAAAGTCCTATATTTAATTCTTATGTCAATCTTAGTATGCCTACTCATTAGTCTACTCATTTTACAGATGTAAAATTGGGCTCGGGAGTTACATAACTTGGTAAAAACAAAGAACACATGTCTAGAAATATCCAAACCCATTCTTTTAACCATTGTAGTATATTTCCTCTCATCATAAAAAGGAAACCGATCACAAGCTAATTGGCATTCCCACAGCAAAACATGCTTAATATTTGTTGTGTACCTGAAGTTCTTCGAGGTGGAAGGAACTGGAGCTTACTGAGTCTGCCTGCTGACATTTTGACTCAATTTGATTAGTAAATATCTAAGCCATGCTGGTTAGTAGTAAGCTGTCATAGAAAGAACCCTGTGCAGAGAAAACAGGAAATCTGATTTTTAGCCACATTCTGACTGGGTGAATGTGAGGTTGTATCACACCAAAGAATTGTTTAACATCGTTCTTGGTAACTAGAAGTCCTGATCTACTTCTTCTGGTTTTGGAAAGAATGATGAAATCTGTACAACTAGGTCATTATTTTAAAATTGAGTCATCTATAAAACAGATCTTTAAAAAAAACAGTGTTTAGATAAGTGTATGCAGAATAAGGTATTAGAGTTTTGAAATTTTAATAAAAGTACATGTTAATAAACCATAACACAATTACATAAGCAACTACATTCAAATCCCAAGACGTCAGTTACATGAATGTTATCAGAGTTAGGAATATCTACCAAGAAAACAACTTCTTTTACTCCAAGGGCACCGAAGGAATTCAAACTTCCTAGGTTACTGACCCCAGCAATAACACTGCATATATAAAAGGAAATAAAGAAAAGTCTTTTGTATCCTTTAGTCATCTTGAGCTTTACACCAACATGTCAGGTCAGCAGTGAAGAAACCATCTCATTGTCCAGATGAAGAAATTAAGGGTCAGAAATAATGAGAGACTGTCCTTGGGCACAGAATTAGCTGTGTGCTAAAGTTCATTCTAACTGAAACCATTCCACTACCCTAGACTGCCAGGCATTCTTTCAAAAACCTATTTTTGAAATGTTCCACACACTCAACACAAGCAGCACATGGTTTCTGCCCTCACCATCTGAGAAATGCACAGGAAAATAAGTAATTACAATTCAGAGCGTCATAGGTCATGAGTCCTGGGGAGTCCTGGGCAGTCCTGGGCATCCTGGGATTGCATCCTTTTGGAGATGAGAGAGTTGGTTCGGGAGGTGATGGGAATCCGTTACTCTGAGCCACCTCTCTCATGAGGAAAGTTTCATTCCTGAAATGTTGAGAATAGAAAGCAAAACGTAGGTAAGAGAAAAGAAATGAAATTAGAAAATTAGAAATTAGACACCTGGGTGTTTCAAAATCCCAAAGGAGAAAGAAACCGTGAAATAAGAGGACAGACATCAGCTGTCAATTAATATTTAGTCAGCAGTGTTAATCGGGCTCAGCTGGAAATTTTCTTCAAGCTCTCCCATGCATGTGTTGTATGTTTTGAGAATAAAAGGAGTTTGCAGTGCTTGGTGATAGAGGAAGTTAGTTAAAGAAGACTCAGCAAACAAGCAGACAAAGGAGGTGGAACCTCTTTTCTTGTTTGCTTTCCTCCATTAAAGCTCTTGAGATGGTTTGTGGGATTCTGCAGGTCTAATACTCTTAATGAAAGCTCATTTAAGCTGAGATGTGATTGACAATGTATCTAAAGATACCAGACAGCAAGACTATTCGAACCGCCAAAAACATCCTTTAAAGAAGACAAAATATCCATCAAATTCCCTGTAATGCTAGGAGATAAGTTGCCTTTTACACATATCACCTGAGTTTGGTGTTCTGCCGAATAATTTTCTCTCCAAATAAAGACAATGGAAAGTAAATTCATTGGTCTCCTCCTATACAATCTTAAACCCAGATTTATTTTCATATGCCTTTGTGTTCTATTCATGGAGTTTGAAATTTTAAGTCTCAAAAATAAAAATAAAAACCTCATTTTAAATGCACGTATTGTGAAAGCTAAGGATTAACAGTTAGAGGAGATTACAAAGAAACCAAAGAGTGATGTAGTCCCTGAAATATATTATTTCATTCTGTCAGGGCCACAGAAAAACACATAAGATATTACCAGTAGTGTTTATTTGGCACACTTCTATAGAAGTAGATGTTGTGATTGCTGCTTATTAAGAACCCCAAGCAACTGCTATAGTCTTAAAGGAACACTTTTAATGATATGCGTCTTTACAAGTAAATATTTTACAGCTGCTTAAAAAATTATACATAGTTAACTATCCATGCATAAATGGTAGAGAGAAGTTGACTTTTGCTATGTATTTTATATGTCCTTGCATTGCACCTGGAATAAG